CCATTGCCTATGCTCTCATTAGCCCATCTATCCTCCAATAGCTGTTTATATCTTACCCTAACTGCCTCCTCTTTTAGTTTATAAACCTTCACCTCTCTCTTCCCTGATACTTCTATTCTCCTTGTATCCCATCTACCTTTTACTCTCAGTGTAGCTACAACTAGAAAGTGATCTGATATATCAGTGGCCCCTCTATAAACATGTACATCCTGAAGTCTACTCAACAGTCTTTTATCTACCAATACATAATCCAACAAACTACTGTCATTTCGTCCTACATCATGTCTTGTATACTTATTTATCCTTTTTTTCTTAAAATATGTATTACCTATAACTAAACCCCTTTCTATACAAAGTTCAATCAAAGGGCTCCCATTATCATTTACACCTGGCACCCCAAACTTACCTACCACACCCTCTCTAAAAGTTTCTCCTACTTTAGCATTCAGGTCCCCTACCACAATTACTCTCTCATTTGGTTCAAAGGCTCCTATACATTCACTTAACATCTCCCAAAATCTCTCTCTCTCCTCTGCATTCCTCTCTTCTCCAGGTGCATACACGCTTATTATGACCCACTTCTCGCATCCAACCTTTACTTTAATCCACATAATTCTTGAATTTACACATTCATATTCTCTTTTCTCCTTCCATAACTGATCATTCAACATTACTGCTACCCCTTCCTTTGCTCTAACTCTCTCTGATACTCCAGATTTAATCCCATTTATTTCCCCCCACTGAAACTCCCCTACCCCCTTCAGCTTTGTTTCGCTTAGGGCCAGGACATCCAACTTCTTTTCATTCATAACATCAGCAATCATCTGTTTCTTGTCATCTGCACTGCATCCACGCACATTTAAGCATCCCAGTTTTATAAAGTTTTTCTTCTCTTTTTTAGTAAATGTCTACAGGAGAAGGGGTTACTAGCCTATATATATATATAATATATATATATATATATATATATATATATATAATATATATATATATATATATATATATATATATATATATTATATAATATATATAATATATATTATATATATATATATATAATAAAATATTCTCCATGGGGAAGAGGAACAGAATTCTTCCTCCATAAGCCATGTGCGTCATAAGAGGTGACTAAAATGCCGGGAGCAAAGGACTAGTAACCCCTTCACCTGTATAGGTTACTAAATTTTAAAAGAGAAACTTTTGTTTTTTCTTTTAGGGCCACCCTGCCTTGGTGGGATACGGCCGGTTTGTTGAAAAAAAAAATACTACACACACACACACACACACATCTGTGTCTGTGACATGTATTGTGTGCAAAGTCATGGAGAAGATTATCAGGAGGAGAGTGGTGGAACACCTGGAACAGAACAAGATTATAAATGAAAACCAGCATGGGTTCATGGAAGGCAAATCCTGTGTCACAAACCTCCTGGAGTTTTATGACAAGGTAACAGAAGTAAGACACGAGAGGGGGTGGGTTGATTGCATTTTCCTAGACTGCAGGAAGGCCTTTGACACAGTTCCCCACAAGAGATTAGTGCAGAAACTGGAGGATCAGGCACATATAACAGGGAGGGCACTGCACTGGATCAGGGAATACATGACAGGGAGGCAGCAACGAGTCATGGTACGTGAAGAGGTATCACAGTGGGCGCCTGTGATGAGCGGGGTCCCACAGGGGTCAGTTCTAGGACCAGTGATATTTTTGATATATGCGAACGACATGATGGAAGGAATAGACTCTGAAGTGTCCCTATTCACAGATGATGTGAAGTTGATGAGAATTAAATCGGATGAGGATGAGGCAGGACTGCAAAGAGACTTGGACAGGCTGGACATGTGGTCCAGAAACTGGCTTCTCGAATTCAATCCTGCCAAATGCAAAATCATGAAGATTGGGGAGGGCAAAGAAGACCGCAGACAGAGTATAGGCTAGGTGGACAAAGACTACAGACGTCACTCAGGGAGAAAGACCTTGAGGTGACCATAACACCAAGCACATCACCGGAGGCACACATCAACCAAATAACTGCTGCAGCATACGGGCGCCTGGCAAACCTGAGAATATCATTCCGATTCCTTAATAAGGAATCGTTCAAGACACTGTACACTGTGTATGTTAGGCCCATACTGGAGTATGCAGCACCAGTTTGGAACCCACACCTGGTCAAGCACGTCAAGAAGTTAGAGAAAGTACAAAGGTTTGCAACAAGGCTAGTCCCAGAGCTCAGGGGAATGTCGTACGAGGAAAGGTTGAGGGAAATTGGACTGACGACACTGGAGGACAGAAGGGTCTGTGGAGAAATTTTCTCCAGGAGGGGGGTATCAGCCCCCTTCAGCCCTTTCAGCCCTGAGGGGCCACTCAGAAGGGGCGAGCGTCTTGTTTACTGCTAGAGTGAGTAATTGATCACAGATGCTATGCCACGTAATCAAGTGACCTCTGCTCCTTGCAGGGGTGTTGCAACGTGTATTTTTATAAGAGACAGTACATCTCTTACTTAGCAGGACAATTAAGGAAAATCCTGCTCCAACAGCTCGTCAGGTCCCAAATACCATTCATCTTCATTCACTCCTATCTAACATTTTTAATATGGTGTCCTCAAGAAGAATAAGAAAATCTTACTGATTTTAATGTGTACCTGCATGCCAGCACAGTGTGTAAGCTTACTTCGGTACATGTACACCTAAGTATAATTATCAGAGTATACATCTATAAAAAATGAAATAACTTTAAAACACTTGAAATTTTGGAAAGTTTCCAGACATAATGGAGAGAGGCAGTGCTCATGGAGCTCGCAGAGAATGTAAACAAACCGGGTGGGGCACAGTAACCACATTAGAAAGTCAAGTGGGGGACCCGTATAGCGAGTATTGATCATAATTTGAAATGTCCATATTAGCGGAATGCCATAAGGCAAAATGCTGTAAAGTGGGGCCCTACTGTATATAAAATAATCTATCATAGGCTTTTAAATACAGGACTGTAAGTATAAAACAAAAATTTACTTTTCTTTTATACAGTATTTTTTAAAATTAATCCATATATCCATTACATCATGTAATATCTATGTTCGTGATTTACTAATACACCCTCTCCTCACTTAGCATTATTATTATAATCAAAAAGAAGCGCTAAGCCACAAGGGCTATACAGCGCTGCAGGGCAGGAAGGAAGCGAGGGCATCAGGTGGCAAAAGGGAGGTGTATGAGTAATAGGTTACGGATAACAGCGGAGCAGTGGATGGTGAAAGGGTAAAAGGGCAGCAAGAGACTGAGCTAGAAAGGGCTGAGGGGAGTGCGTAAGGTATCATCATCAGAGTTTGTGGAGTAAATCAGTCGTTGTCAAGAAGTCAATGAGAGAGTCAGGATTAAAGGAGGGTCCATCAGCAAGAAGGGAAGGTAGAGAGAGTAGTAGAACGAAGACGGCGTTGGAGGTAAATTCTGCGTGTTCGTTGATAGAGAGGGCAGTCTAACAGAATGTGGCTAATCGATACTGGAACTTGACACTGCTCACAGAGAGGTACAGGGTGCCTCTCCATGAGATACCCATGAGTAAGACGAGTGTGGCCAATGCGAAGACGGGAGAGAGTGGTCTCCCAACCACGGCACTGATGACAAGAAGACGGCCAGTAACCTATGCTCGGTTTAATAAAATGAAGTTTGTTACCAAGCAGAGTTGACCAACGTTGTTGCCAATGGGCGTGAAGGTGGGTAGCTATTGCAGCAAAATAGTCCAGAAATGGAACACCTCTATAGGAAATTGGTAGGTCATGTACTGCTGACCGCGCAGCAGTGTCTGCCTGTTCATTGCCCTGTAAGTCGACATGACCAGGGACCCAACAAAAAATATCTTTATGCTTCGTAGAGATACGGCGTAGCCAAAGTTGGATACGGAGGACTAGGGGGTGAGATGTATCAAATTTTCGTATAGCCTGTAGAGCACTAAGGGAGTCTGAGACTACCACAAATGATGACACAGGCATAGATGCGATACGAATAAGTGCTGCAAGAATGGCATACAGTTCAGCAGTAAAAATGCTAGCCGAAGATAGTAAATGCCCCCGCACGACGCTGTCCGGAAACACTGCTGCGAATCCGACGCCGTCTGAAGACTTAGAGCCATCTGTGTACACAGCGGTGGCTTGAGAATGGGAGTGGAAGTGATCAAGAAAAAGAGAGCGGGAAGCCACCGTAGGCAATTGAGCTTTCGAGCAAGGGAGTGAGAAAGAACAGACCCGAACAGCTGGAACTTCCCAGGGGGGTAGGGAAAAGTGAGATGCTACATGAACATATAAAGGTGGTAACTGAAGGGAAGACGAGTGAATGTAGGCGAAGAGAAAAGGGACGGAGCAAACGGGCGGCAAACGAATAAAGAATGTCTACTAATATCGGTGACCATTCTATAAATGAAAGGATTGTGGAGTTCGTGAGAGCGTACATAGTAGCGAAGGCAATGGGCATCACGGCGATCAGACAAGGATGGAACATTCGCTTCTACATAGAGGCTCTCAACAGGGAATGAGCGAAAAGCACCAAGGCACAAACGTAATCCTTGGTGATGGATAGAGTTAAGGCTAGAGAGAGTAGCAGGCCTCACTTAGCAACGTATTCATTTACTGACGACTTGGACTTAGGACAGGCTCTGACCAGTATGCATACCTAATAATATGTTACAGCTGATTTCCTCTATTGTTTATTACACTATACTGTACACTACTGTACAAACATTTAAAGACATACCAGAAATGTTATAAATGGTGCAAAGGTGATATTAAAACAATATCAAAGATGGTTGACACAAACCCACTACCAATAGAGTATGCTCCTCGCTCGGTGACGAATTCGTTTACTGACATGGTCTTAGGAACTGAACTCCATCATTAAGTGAGGAGAGGCTGTATTAGAAAGATTTGAATTAAATTTTAGCAAAATATTTGTACACATTTCCCAACAGAATTTCAATAGGTATGAAGCCTTTTAAGGAGTAATAAAAAACTAGATTTAACAATAAATTTTATTGAATTTCTAGATTAGCTGCATCAAAACTCGAGGCACTAAAACTGACATGGCATTTAACTTGTACAAAGGAAATAGGGCTTCGGTTATGCAGATCTAACAGTTATTAAATTTGAAAGTATGGGAATATGAATAAATTTTATTTTCAGCATTATGCCAGTACCAGTATATTAAGTCTAATATATCCAATTGAGTCTAACAGAGTATATGCTCATTAGTTCTATATACTGATAAGTCTGCTGGTAACATAATACCTAAGCTACATAACCTGTAGCAGCTGCTGAGTCAACTGGTAGTCTGAGTAATGATGAGTACACAGTTAAGCACTGAAAGTTTGGACTCTGATACTTCAGTAAATTTAAAAGTTTTAGTATTCAGACATTCATATGGTATTTGATTTGTACTATAATATGTTGTCTTGGAAATTACTTCTTGAAATTTTGTCTTGGATTTCTACAGGCAGTTCGGCAGGATGGATAATAAGTGGAGAATATCTCTGGCTCTAATCAACCTGAACTTTCAGTGCTTTACTATAATACAAGTCTCCAAATTACAACACAGTACATGGAAATTTATAAAAAAATAAAAACAAAGTAGCAAATAGCAGAGCACTAATACATGGGTAAGTTACACATACACAAATGACATCATAGCAAAAATAACATGCAGAATAGAGGTTATCAAACAGTGAATTGAGCATTTCTCTTGTATATATCTAGTACATACAGATTGGTGATGGTGCACAGTTGAGCACAAATATTATTCATGGGGAAGCCCTAAACCCACTTGGCTCATACAGCACCTGGGGAATAGGAGACACTGAAATCAGGTTTGATTTAAGGAAAGGTAGGCCCAATTCCTTGAATCAAGAACCCTTCACTATTATAAAGGCACCCCATTTTTTTGAAGGGTGAACACTAATACTACAGTCACAGGTAATAAGCCATCTGTATCAATCATTGTAGGTACAGTGCCTAAAAAATTAATCTATCACTGCAGCAATCCAGTACCATACAGAATAGCATAAAATCTGGCTGAATTACTTGGAACTTTAACAGTTATGTTGGAAAAGCCTAACATTGTGACTGTACACACTATGTAAATATGTCATGCTCTTTATGCAGAGTTTGCAACCATAGCTTATAAAATAGATTATTTTGTCAAATCAGTTGAGTGTGAATTCATTTCAATAACATTGCAAAATTTAAATACAGTACTGTAGCTTTTTGAAGTTAAATTTATTTTTTTAATAAACACACCGGCAGTTTCCCACTAAGGTAGGGTGGCCCGAAAAAGAAACTTTCACCATCATTCGCTTAACTGTCTTGCCAGAGGCGCACTTACACTACAGTTATAAAACAAACATTAACACCCCTCCTTCAGAGTACAGGCACTGTACTTCCCATCTCCAGGACTCGGGTCCGACCTGCCGGTTTCCCTGAATCCCAGCCATGGAGGTACTACCGTCCTGCCAAGCGAGTGTGAAACAGAAACCTGTAACTGTTTTACATGATGGTGGGATTGCTGGTTCTTTTTTCTGTCTCATAAACACGCTGGATAATAGATATATCTTTCTACTTCTGCTTACACTTAGGTCACACTACACAGGCATGCACATGCATGTATATACATACATGTTCTGTGCTTTGAATACATAGTAGAGTTGCAAGTGGAGAGAGTAACAGGAGTTGAATGGGAAAAGCCAGACTATAAAAGAGGGGACTACATAGGGTTGAGGAACTTCCTGCAGGAGGTTCCGTGGGACAGAGAACTGGCAGGAAAGCCAGTAAATGAAATGATGGAATACATAACAAAATGCAAGGAGGTAGCGGAAAGGTTTATTCCCAAGGGCAACAGAAACAATGGGAAGACCAGAACAAGCCCCTGGTTTACCCGACGGTGTAAGGAGGCAAAAAACTAAGTGCAATAGAGAATGGAAAAAGTACAGAAGGCAGAGAACACATGAAAATAGGGAGATTAGTCGCAGAGCCAGGAACGAGTATGCACAGGTAAGGAGGGAGGCCCAGCGACAGTATGAAAATAACATAGCATCGAAAATAAAGACTGACCCGAAACTGTTGTATAGCCACATCAAGAGGAAGACAACAGTCGAAGACCAGGTGATCAGACTGAGGACAGAAGGTGGAGAACTCACAAGAGATGATCAGGAGGTATGTGAGGAGCTAAACAGGAGATTTAAGGAAGTTTTTACAGTAGAGACAGGAAGGGCTCTGGGAAGACAGCACAGAAGGGAACATCAAGAGGGAATATACCAACAAGTGTTGGATGACATACAAACAACCGAGGAAGAGGTGAAGAAGCTGCTAAGTGACCTTGATACCTTAAAGGCGATGGGACCGGACAACATCTCCCCATGGGTCCTTAGAGAAGGAGCAGAGATGCTGTGCGTGCCCCTAACCACAATCGTCAACACATCCCTTGAAACTGGGCAACTACCTGAGAAATGGAAGACAGCAAATGTAGTCCCCATATTTAAGAAAGGAAACAGAAATGAGGCACTAAACTACAGACATGTGTGTCTGTCATGTATTGTGTGCAAAGTCATGGAGAAGATTATCAGGAGGAGAGTGGTGGAACACCTGGAACAGAACAAGATTATAAATGAAAACCAGCATGGGTTCATGGAAGGCAAATCCTGTGTCACAAACCTGCTGGAGTTTTATGACAAGGTAACAGAAGTAAGACACGAGAGAGAGAGGGGTGGGTTGACTGCATTTTCCTAGACTGCAGGAAGGCCTTTGACACAGTTCCCCACAAGAGATTAGTGCAGAAGCTGGAGGATCAGGCACATATAACAGGGAGGGCACTGCACTGGATCAGGGAGGCAACAACGAGTCATGGTACGTGAAGAGGTATCACAGTGGGCACCTGTGACGAGCAGGGTCCCACAGGGGTCAGTTCTAGGACTAGTGATATTTTTGATATATGCGAATGACATGATGGAAGGAATAGACTCTGAAGTGTCCCTATTTGCAGATGATGTGAAGCTGATGAGAAGAATTAAATTGGATGAAGATGAGGCAGGACTGCAAAGAGACCTGGACAGGCTGGACATGTGGTCCAGAAACTGGCTTCTCGAATTCAACCCTGCCAAATGCAAAGTCATGAAGATTGGGGAGGGGCAAAGAAGACCACAGACAGAGTATAGGCTAGGTGGACAAAGACTACAGACCTCACTCAGGGAGAAAGACCTTGGGGTGACCATAACACCGAGCACATCACCGGAGGCACACATCAACCAAATAACTGCTGCAGCATACGGGCGCCTGGCAAACCTGAGAATAGCATTCCGATACCTTAATAAGGAATCGTTCAAGACACTGTACACTGTGCATGTTAGGCCCATACTGGAGTATGCAGCACCAGTCTGGAACCCACACCTGGTCAAGCACGTCAAGAGGTTAGAGAAAGTACAAAGGTTTGCAACAAGGCTAGTCCCAGAGCTCAGGGGAATGTTGTACGAGGAAAGGTTGAGGGAAATTGGACTGACTACACTGGAGGAGAGAAGGGTCAGGGGAGACATGATAACGAAATACAAGATACTGTGGGGAATAGACAAGGTGGACAGAGATAGGATGTTCCAGAGAGAGGACACAGAAACAAGGGGTCACAACTGGAAGCTGAAGGCTCAGATGAGTCACGGGGACATTAGGAAGTACGTATTTCTTCAGTCGTAGTCGTCAGGAAGTGGAATAGCCTAGCAAGTGAAGTAGTGGAAGCAGGAACCATACATAGTTTTAAGAAGAGGTATGACAAAGCTCAGGAAGCAGAGAGGGAGAGGACCTAGTAGCGATCAGTGAAGAGGCGGGGCCAGGAGCCGAGTCTCGACCCCTGCAACCACAATTAGGCGAGTACACAACTAGGTTTTTCTTCTTATTTCTTAATAGTTCTTGTTCTTTATTTTCTCTTCTCCATGGGGAAGTGGAAAAGAATCTTTCCTCCGTAAACCATGCATGTCGTATGAAGCGACTAAAATGCCGGTAGCAATGGGTTAGTATAGTAAATATTTTTAACACACCGGTCGCCTCCCACTGAAAAAAGAAGAAACCCATGACTAAATGTATGCTGACCTGAAATAGGTTTAGTAATATTAAATTAAATGTTGTAAGAGGTAATTTTTGAAAAGCCAGTTTTGGTACGAAATTTTCACCATGTTAATTCACAAAAATATACACTGTATCAGTTAATAAGACAGTGTTCTCAAAAAAACTGAAATTTATTTTAAGGAGCATAGTTTGATCGTTTCTGCTTTAAAAAAAAAAAATCATGACAAACATAAAACATAGGTGTACCTCTGGTTTATGAACTAATGCTTTCCCTAAAATTGGTCACAAGCTGAAAAATCTTAAGCTGATTTGATTATAACTTAAAAAGTATAGGGTGAGCTCAAGGTTCAGACCCATTTTTCAATATTTAAACTCTTTTGTCACGATTCTTTTGATTTTATTATAAGAGACATCAAATAACATACTAGAAAACATTAAAAATATAAAAAAAATAAAATAGGTAAATAAATATTTTACTATAGATTGTTATATAAAAAGATTCCAGCTACCAGGGCATTATGACAGACTATTAAGAAACATAATTTAAGCCACAAAACCATTACAACATGGAGTGCTAAAATTTGAGCTATCAGAGCATTTACGAACTTTATAACAAGAAAATTAACATTTTATTAAAAAATAAGAAACACTATACATACTAGAGTACTTGTATTTAATTTCTTCACTGTTTACTTAGTAACTTAGCATTTTGGGTGTGGGTTGTAGTAAATTTACCATAGGAACCTGGCATGTTGAGTAGCTAACATATCACTAAGGACTCAATGTAAAAGATTGTTAGAAAATTTTTGTAAAAGTCTAAACTTTGAGTAGCAAGTCTAAAAATCTGCAGTATAGGCTGGAGCATGGGTGTTAATTTTATGGGATTGTATGTTTGGAAATTTGTAAGTTAGGAAGTTGTAGGTCTAAGTACAACTGTATACAGGCTTCCTTCTTATGTGGCTTTACACAAATTTGCTACTATATGCTGTCCATTTTTTTGGTAATTCCAAAGGTGTAATATTCTTTTACTGAACATAACTAAAGGGTGCAAAATGTAATGAAGTCTTATTATGCAGAATAGTTATAAGTGTCATAGGAGTTACTAAGGCAATTTGGAAATTTAGAAAGAGAGGAGCAAAAGAAGATGGCTTGGAAGGAGTATAAATCTGTAGTGGAAGGGAGGGAGGGAAGGGAGTCACCTTAAGGAAGATTGGAGGGAAAGGCATAAAGGAGATTTCATATGCGAGGGATTTGGACATCTAACAGGCATGTGTGAACATGTTAGATAGGAGTGCGGAAAGACAAGTTGTTTTTATGACGATGTGTTGTTGGAGTGTAAGCAAGGTAACATTTATGGAGATTCAGGGAAACTGGTTAGATGGTCCTGCAGGTGGAAGTACAATGCCTGCACTCTGGAGAAGAGGTGGAGATACTACATATTGGAGGGTAATTTGAGCTGTAGTGTTGGCACACCTCTGGCAAGATGGTGATGGAGTGTGTGATGGTGGACATGTTTCTTCATTTTTAGGGCACCCTGCCACAATGGGAGGCAGCTGGTGTTAAAAAAGTGCTGATTGCCTGACTGAAATGAATATATGTAAAAAAGACACCTGTACATTGTACAGTTATATACACTATTGTATACTGAGGTAGCGAAAAGATTAATATATCCTGTACATACATGCTTTGTTTAATGATGGTGAATGTTTCCTTTTGTGGTTCATCCTAACTTGGTAGGAGACAGCCAATGATTAAAGGATAAATACTGAATTCAGATTTTACTATAGTCATTTTACTAGTCATAAGCTTGCCTATGATACTCCAATATAGACACTATGTATTGTGCCAAAACAAACGCATTCACATTGCTAAACTTACAAACTATAATGTAGTCACTTAGCCTTAATACCATAATCTGTAATAATTTAAAGTTTAAAATTAATCTAAGTCTGCCCGAAATGCCTAGCCATGCTAGGTGTCCTAGTGGCCCCCTCTGTAATTAGTATTTTAAAACATGTAAACCACACAATATCCAAAATCTGTAAACCCCGCATTGTAATCCTTATAGAGAATAAACTTGATTGATTGACTGATTGAATGGAGAGAGCCACTAATAGAACTGCTGTTACAAGCATGATGTTCAGTTTATGGCTAAATAGAGCAAGAGGTTACCCTCCCCTGCTTATAAAAATAATTTTCTGGGCAAAAGTTAGATGTAAATTTATCGGATTTTTACTTACTGAACATCCCCACCCCCAGTTACTTTGGTTTTAATCAAATTCATTGTATTTTATAAGTAAACTGCAAAAGTATTTATTAATTCTTCATTGTCTTTAAGATTTGCCAAAGCTAACTACAATGAGTTGCCCCCAATTACTTTTAGTCTTAGATAAAGTGAAGATAACAGCTACTGGATACTACAGGAATATTTAGTGTTGGTGAAAGATGAGGCTCATTATTACAAAACTTTGCAAAGTAAAATGAAAAAAATTCACACATACACATCACAGCAATACTAGAATGAATAATTTTTCACACAAGTCACAGCAAGAATAAAAATAAGAGGATTTTACACACATCACAGTAAGACTTAATGCACATTTTTTAAAAGCATCACAGAATGAAAAAAGAGCAGCTTTCAGACACTACCACAGCCTATCTTTTATTACATGATCCAAAACAAACCATTCCTTCTTGACTGTAACTCATGATCCACAAATAAGAAGAATACTAAAAAGTCATGGATGCAATGCATTGCTATAACATATCGGGATCCCTATTGCACATAACTGTATGAGAAGAATCAAGAGTATTGTAAACTCTCAATAAATCTTAAACTACATTGTTCACTCTTAAAGTACTATTATAATCTTCAGAATTAATACTGTAAGTATGCAAGCAAAACATAACAGACCATTTCTTCCATACCAAAAAATATATACTGTACATAAACTGTCCAACTAAATTTTACATCTACAATGACACAATCAGCATTACATATTACACTATGGTATATACTGTGGATGTAAGAAAAATATGCATTACTTATTGGTATGTGCATGTGTCTTTGTTAATACACCTTTTAAGTGTGCAGGGTGGGAGCTGCAGCTCCTGGGCCTTACCTCTTTACCTTTAATAAACTGGTGAGATGACTTCCTAACTCCATTGCTATAGTTTTAAGTACTGAATCTGTATATTTTAGTATCCATAACCACACAGGGTGTCTCAAAAATATATACACATTCCAAGGCAGGATAACCTAAAAAGAAAAATGAAAGTTTCTCTTTTTAAAATTAGTAATGTATACTGTATTTTATACTGCATTTTAATAAGTAACTCAGTGAAGCAATAGTCAGTTACACATGGTAAACGTGTCTGGAGTCAAAAATTCATTTATGCTCTCAGGTCTCAGTTGAAAACACACCTCTTTTCTAGAGCTTTCAATCCTAATGATAATACTATCATTCTTTAATATGAACTTTAGTATTCTTTTTTTTCTTGCAGTTGTATTTATGATCTGATATGCGAGCACTTGTGAATTTTTTTTGAAAGAATAGGTGCTCGAGAATTACAAAATCCCAAATTACTAGTTTTTTTTTATTAATCATTTATTTATTTATTTATTTATTATTATTACCATTATCATTCTGACACTGTTGGCTGGTAAGCAACAAACTAGGGCAAAGGTTTCTGCCAGAGTTTTTGGTGTAGCTAGTTCTCTACTATAGACTCTATTCTTTGTACTAAATGCCTGCAACTTTAATTTAGAATACAGGTTTCCTCCATTTTATAAGAAATACCTACACAGGATGTCTTTTCTAGCATTAGTTCCATGTGTGCAATGTACATTCACTGTATGTGATAGGTGAAGTTTACAAGGAGTATTGAACATTCTCACTGTGGAAAATTAAATTATTATGCATTAAAACACAAGCTAAAGCTGTATGAATCGTATAGCACAGAATCCAGTGTCGACTGAGCTTAGTGCAGCTGCCTTGAGATCGGAATGTATTTATTGCATAAAGTCAGGGACATCTTTACAGTATTTTATCAATAATCATTTGTTACCAAAATGTGTATATATCTTAGTGGGAGACTGTTTTGACAATGTAAAAATATATGATTACTGCCTGGCACAATTTTTTGTTTAAGGAGTTACTGAAAACAGTCTTGTCAAATTTTTTAATATTAGATGGAAAAAATAATAAAAACTAAAAACTGCAAAAGACTTAATTTTAGTTTAAGTAGCAATTGTTTGTGGTTCAAAAAATGTGTTAAAAAAAAAATTACAAGGTAATACAACAAAGTCCTTCAAGGTGCTTTATACAGTGTGCAGTATGTTGAGTCCATCTTGGAGTATGCAGCACCCGTATGGAACCCACACCCAAGGAAGCATTGTAAGACACTAAAGAAAGTGCAGAGGTATGGACCAAGACTTTTCTAGAGTTCAGGGGTACGAGCTACTAGGAATGGCTAAAAGAATCTTAACAACTCTGGAAGGGAGGAGGACCAGAGAAGACATGATAACATACAAAATACTAAGACGAACTGATAGAGCAGACAGGGACAGGCTGTTTGAGAGGCGAGAAACACTCGGCGCACAGCTGGAAGCTAATGACACACAAGTCACAGAAATGTTAGTAAGTATTGTCTTCAGTCTTAAGGTAGTTGGGAAGTGGAATGACTTTGAATATGTGGTGGAAGTAGACTTCATACATAGTTTTAAGAATAGGTACGATAGGGCCCATGAAGACAGGTAAATATGAATCTGGCAAGTTGAGAGGTGATGCCAGGGCCTGCAGCCACATGTAGGTGAGCATTCTAATCCACTGTAATATACACTAGCCAATAGCTAGTTACATAAAGCTGCACCTTATTAGCAGGATAAGCCTAATTGTACATCAAATAATTTTCAAAGTTCATACAACTTATGCAAATGTATTTCTAAGACAATGCAGTAAGGCCATAAATACACTATCAAAATACAAACATTTTATGTCTAACAATAATATTTAACTAAATCAACAATCCATATTCTAAATAAATTCACTTCAGAGTCACTTGTACCATACTTTCTTTATTCATGTGCAGTTATGCACTACAAAGAAATGTAGTGATTAATTTTCAAATATTGAATACACTGCCTTTTATGAACTGAAAATATTTAAGCCAACTGATTCTGATGCTACAGACACATGTCTTTAAAGCATACAATGAACAAAACTGCAAGATTATTTTTGCAAGCCAAAGACTGTCAATAAAATTCCTGTTAACCTTATACTGATAAGGTTTATCTGTTTGTCATATTAAAAATTAAACGTGAATTCACAAAAAATATAATGTAAATGTACATGATTATGACCGACAGTGAAAATATCCTATAGTATTTACACAGTGGCCCTAAAATGTTAGCTTCACAGAATTTAAAAAAGGAATGGCATGCTGCTGCAAAACACATGTTACATTTTACATGATTTTTAATATTTTTTTTTTTTTTTAACACGGCAGCTATCTCCAACAGAGGTAGGGTGATCCAAAAATGAAGACAGTATCACCATTACTCATTCAATCACTGTCTTGCCAGAGTATGCAGCACCCGTATGGAACCCACACCCAAGGAAGCATTGTAAGAAACTAGAGAAAGTGCAGAGGTATGGACCAAGACTTGTTTCTAGAGTTCAGCATGCTGACAACTCAGATGGCCCTTTAAACTGCAAAAATCCCCACCCACTCCTTTAAGAATGCAAGCATTGTACTTCCCATATCTTCAGTTCCATTGATGGAATCTGAATGCCTTCCATTTCTACAATGAAGTTTTGTCTCCATCGATGCTGCATTGCAATGTCCACCTTTCTTTCCCCTAAACAATTGTATGGTTCATCCCCAAATATTTGAACGCATTTACTTCCTCCATACTTCTTCCTATCTGATATCCAGTCTCTTACCACCTAGATTTCTTACCCTCAACACCTCATGCTTTTTTATATTCTCTTTAATTTCCTTCTTTTATATACACTAAAAATTTCCTCCAACAAGCTTTGCAACTTCTCTTCAGAATCTTCCAAAAGAACCTTGTTATCAGTAAAAAAAGTGACAATTCCCATTATGTATGAAATTAGTTGCTGAGTATCTTTTAATCCTTCACTCTGCCCCATCCCCTTAGTGTTTATCTACCATACCACGGGCGGGATTGAACCCGCGGTCAGAGAGTCTCAAAACTCCAGACCGTCGCATTAGCCACTGGACCAGCTAGCCACAATAAGATTCGTCCAACTAGGTATATTTCTACACCATAGGAAGGTTAGCATAGGCACCACTGTGACCACAAATGCAAGTTTTTACAGACGAATCTCCAGCTAGCGTGGCCGTGACGAACTCTAGCTCAAGTCCCCTCAATGCCGTCATTCGTGTCATTACTATTTTGTGAGTCAAGTAGTGTTTACCTCTTTTACAACCCCATCTATAAATATGTTAAGTACTCATGGTGCAATCCAGTAAAAGGATGTGCAATCACACATCCTTTTACTAGAAAATAATCTTTCCTACATGCCCTAACATGAGGGGATCACTATCCACATAACTCTTGACTGCCTTTAGTAACATACAACCCATTCCATACATTTGCAACATCTGCCACATCACTTCTCTATCTACCCATCTGGCCCTGCCTTTGACTTATGATCACTTTTTGACTTTGTCAGTAACTGCTTTACTATACAAGCTTTGACACACAGCCCTTAGTGTCCCTTCCAGCCCTTTTCTCCCCTCACCTCTGATCCCCTCTCCACCTAGCTGTTTATAGCCCTGGCACTATTTTCTGCCATGCAGCACTGCATGACCCTTCTCAGTTTAACACTTTATTTGATTATAATAATAATGGCGAGAATATTTTGAGGAAATTCTAAATGTCGACGAAGAAAGGGAAGCGGTAATTTCATGCACTGGCCAAGGAAGTATACCATCTTTTAGGAGTGAAGAAGAACAGGATGTGAGTGTGGAGGAGGTGCATGAGGCATTACGTAGAATGAAAGGGGGTAAAGCAGCTGGAACTGATGGGATCATGACAGAAATGTTAAAAGCAAGGGGAGGATAGTGTTGGAGTGGTTGGTATTTTTGTTTAATAAATGTATGGAAGAGGGTAAGGTACCTAGAGATTGGCAGAGAGCATGCATAGTTCCTTTGTATAAAGGCAAATGGGACAAAAGAGAGTGCAAAAATTATAGGGGGATAAGTCTGTTGAGTATACCTGGTAAAGTGCATGGTAAAGTTATTATTGAAAGAATTAAGAGTAAGATGGCGAATAGGATAGCAGATGAACAAGGAGGCTTTAGGAAAGGTAGGGGGTGTGTGGACCAGGTGTTTACAGTGAAATATATAAGTGAACAGTATTTAGATAAGGCTAAAGAGGTCTTTGTGGCATTTATGGATTTGGAAAAGGCATATGACAGGGTGGATAGGGGGGCAATGTGGCAGATGTTGCAGGTGTATGGTGTAGGAGGTAGGTTACTGAAAGCAGTGAAGAGTTTTTACGAGGATAGTGAGGCTCAAGTTAGAGTATGTAGGAAAGAGGGAAATTATTTCCAAGTAAAAGTAGGCCTTAGACAAGGATGAGTGATGTCACCGTGGTTGTTTAATATATTTATAGATGGGGTTGTAAGAGAAGTAAATGCGAGGGTCTTGGCAAGAGGCGTGGAGTTAAAAGATAAAGAATCACACATAAAGTGGGAGTTCTCACAGTTGTCACAGTTGATGAGGGGAAAAGGGTGAGTGGTGCACTTAGGAGTCTGTGGAGACAAAGAACTTGGAGGCAAAGAGGGGAATGTATAAGAGTATAGTTTTACCAATGCTCTTATATGGGTGTGAAGCATGGGTGATGAACGTTGCAGCGAGGAGAAGGCTGGAGGCAGTGGAGATGTCATGTCTGAGGGCAATGTGTGGTGTGAATATAATGCAGAGAATTCGTAGTTTGGAAGTTAGGAGGAGGTGTGGGATTACCAAAACTGTTGTCCAGAGGGATGAGGAAGGGTTGTTGAGGTGGTTCGGACATGTAGAGAGAATGGAGTGAAACAGAGTGACTTCAAGAGTGTATCAGTCTGTAGTGGAAGGAAGGCGGGGTAGGGGTCGGCCTAGGAAAGGTTGGAGGGAGGGGGTAAAGGTTTTGTGTGCGAGGGGCTTGGACTTCTAGCAGGCATGCGTGAGCGTGTTTGATAGTGAATGGAGACAAATGGTTATTAATACTTGATGTGCTGTTGGAGTGTGAGCAAAGTATACTCAGTAAACTTATTCCTCTATAATTTTTACAATCTCTTTTGTCCCCTTTCCCTTTATATAAAGGGACTACACATGCTCTCTGCCAATCCCTAGGTACCTTCCCCTCTTTCATACATTTATTAAATAAAAGTACCAACCACTCCAACACTATATCCCCCCCTGCTTTTAACATTTCTGTCATGATCCCATCAGTTCCAGCTGCTTTACCCCCTTTCATTCTACGTAATGCCTCACGTACCTCCCCCACACTTACATTCTATCATAAAACAAAAAAGTTCCTTACCTTTATCTAATTAGTCTTAACTTGTTTCAATGCAAAAACTAAGAATACACATCCCCTAGCATTCCTAAAACCTTGTTTCTCTGCAGTCTTACTTTGTCTTTCCCTTAATTTTTTCAATAATAACTCTACCATTCACTTTACCTACTATACTCAACAGGCTTATTTTCCTATAGTTCCTAAACTTTTATCCATCCCCTTTCCCCTTATACAAAAGAACTATGAATTCTTTCTTCTAATCTATGGGCATTCTCTCCCTTTCATGCATATACAGTGGACCCCCAGTTAACGATATTTTTTCACTCAGAAGTATGTTCAGGTGCCAGTACTGACCGAATTTGTTCCCATAAGGAATATTGTCAAGTAGATTAGTCCATTTCAGACCCCCAAACATACATGTGCAAACGCACTTACATAAATACACTTACATAATTGGTCGCATTCGGAGGTGATCGTTATGCGGGGGTCCACTGTATTTAACATATATACCAACTACTATACAGTGGACCCCCGACATTCGATGGCACCGACATTCGATAAATCCGACATTCGATGCATTTTAACGCAAAAATTTTGCCTCGACATTCGATGGAAAACCCGATATTCGATACGATTCGTACGAGACGTGTCCACGTGTGGCCTGAACTGCCCCATGTGTGCCAGTGTTTACAAGCCAGCCAGTGTGCATGCATCTAAGGATACATTCGATACATTCCATATTATCACTGTTTTTGGTGCTTGTTTCTGCAAAATAAGTCACCATGGGCCCCAAGAAAGCTTCTAGTGCCAACCCTGTGGTAAAAAGGGTGAGAATTAGTATGGAAATTAAGAAAGATTTTGAAGGGTTTGGGGCTAACCCTGAGAAACCTATGCCAGTTGTGGACTCCATTGTGCCTACTTCAAAAATTAAGGAAATGTTTGCAAAGTGGGTTGAACTGCAAACCTTTATGGATGAAAATCACCCTACCACAGCTATTGCAAGCCATGCTGGTGACTATTACAATGACAATGTTATGGCCCATTTTAGACAAATCTTAAAGGAATGGCAACAGAGGTCCAGTGACATTCAAGCTGGTCCTAGTGGCATTAAAAGAAGAAGGGAAGTAACCCCGGAAAAGGACTTGCTACCTCAAGTTCTAATGGAAGGGGATTCCCCTTCTAAACAGTAACAACTTCGACACACTCCCCTCCTCCCATCCCATCAATCATCACCAGATCTTCATTAAAGGTAAGTGTCAGTTACTTTATTGTTATTATTCTATTGCATTAAACTTAATATTTCATGTGGTAAATTTTTTTTTTTTCATACTTTTGGGTGTCTTGCACGGATTAATTTGATTTCCATTATTTCTTATGGGGAAAATTAATTCGACTTTCGATATTTTCGGCATTCGATAGCTCTCAGGAACGGATTAGTATCGAATGTCGAGGGTCCACTGTATTATTATAATCAAAACCAAGCGATAAACCCACAAGGAACATACAGCGCTGCCCAACCACTACAAAATTATATCAATATCTGCTTTCAACATTTTTATCTTGATCTCATCTATCCCAGTTGCTTTACCCCCTTTAGTAAGTTTATTCAGGTATAGACAAATACAGTTACATAGATTATCTAGATTATCATACATAGCAGCATACAGTGGACCCCCGGTTAACGATATTTTTTCATTCCAGAAGTATGTTCAGGTGCCAGTACTGACCGAATTTGTTCCCATAAGGAATATTGTGAAGTAGATTAGTCCATTTCAGACCCCCAAACATACACGTACAAACGCACTTACATAAATACACTTACATAATTGGTCGCATTGGGAGGTGATCGTTAAACGGGGGTCCACTGTATTTGTAAAGTACCTAGGATAACCAAAAAAAAATCAGTGACTTATTTCCATTCTATCCCATGCCTCATGCACTTTCTCTACTCACATTTGGCTATTCTTCACTCCTTCAAGATGTCATACAGTACCTTTCTATCCAATGCATGAAATCAATGTCTCCCTTTCTTCATCAATATTTAACAACTCAAACACTCCCTCCATCTTCCCACTACCCCCATTTTCCCATCTGTTTCTCCTCCTTTGTTTTTAAGTGCTATCTATGTCTTTACAAGTCAGCCAGTGTCTGGAATTTTATTATACTATACTCTACACAGTAATTATGCAGGAATGGTTGAGAGGAACTGTTATTATGGGAGACGGCCGACTTGTTAAAAAAAAAAAAAAATGAGCTGAGAAATAGTATTCTCTGGTACTCTAAATTCAATTTCATAAGATTTATTCATGAATAGGATGCATTATGTTAGCAATGCTACCTTCACTTTAATAAGTGATCAAAAGATTTACTTAACTAAGAAGCTCTTGGTTTTGACAGTTTTATATTAACTTGGTGCAAATGAAACACCAACAATGTAATCATGAGAGTACTGATAAATTAGACACATGTGCAACTCTTAGGCATCTTTATTGAGGAAACGTTTCGCCACACAGTGGCTTCATCAACGTGTCGGTTCTCTGAACCATTCATCTACAATCCTGTCAGACACTGCAACTTCTTGGGATCTTAATACTTGGGAATTCTTCGCTTGCCTAACCCTTGGGCACGACTTACTTCCACATTGAACAAATATGACACCACCTACGCCTGCTGCACCTCTCCTGCCTACAGTTTATAAACTGCTTCTCTGCACATATGCCATATTCTATTCAAGATGGATGGACTGACCACATCGACTCAAGGTTGAGGGACTGATTACCTCATTCTCCTCCTATTCTTCAAGTTTCTCCCATGTATGGACTGATGAAGCCACTGTGTGGCGAAACATTTCCTCAATAAAGATACCCAAGAGTTGCACGTGTCTAATTCATCAACGTGTCGGTTCTCTGAACCATTCATCTACAATCATGAGAGTACTACATTATTTTTATAGCCGTTTTAGTTGTCTCATCAAAGTGTGACTTTTTTACTTTTTATAACTTGTCTACTGAGTATTCATATTAGTTTAACTCCTACACATAATATACTGTATACAGAAACTGAGTTTATACAAAAGTGCAGACAGCTTTATGAAATATATTGTAATTATTTTGCATAATGTGGTTCAATCTGCAGATCTGTTTGATTTCAGTGCTCATTAAGATGCTTTTTTTTCTAAGATTAACAAAACTAAAAAATATACACATACAGTACACATGTACAGAATATTTCAAGTTACGGAAGTTGTTTGAGGTACAGTGTATTCTCCAAATCATATAAAACAAATAAAACACCGAAAGCCTTAGTGGAATCACGCTACTGGAGTATCAACAGGGTTGTTCTCAATATACCATATTTGAAAAAGTTATAAAATAAAAAATGAAAGCAAAAATGGAAGAAATGGAGCTACAAATTAAATTATTTTTCATGCATTCCTAATATTTAGACAGCAAAACTAAAGGCAAGTTCAATACGATGCACTGCACATAATAAACACCAAACTGAATCAACTGAGAAAAACACAGGCATAGGAGATATTGGGGCTATGAAGCTCAGGTTAAGATTCTTTAAGGGGCTCAGCCTAACTTAGATGCAGAAGACAATATCTACACTTTCCCACAGATGAAGCATTAAGGAAGCAATTCATTCGTTAACCCAGAGTTTGGCTATGGTGGCAATTGCTCTTTTCTGATATGCAATGCCTTGTATAACTTGCAAGTATGCTGCAGACACAATACTGTACCAGCAAGTCATTTGATAACTGAAAAACTTTGTTCACTTTTCAAGTAGACCTTGGTTTTAATTTTTGAGATGACTAATGAAAACTAAAGGCAGATGTATACATTGAATAATTCAAGTACAGTAGGGCCCCACTTGTACGGCAGGTTAGGTTTCAGGCTACCTGCTGTAAATTGGATATCATTGTAAAGTGGAACGCCATTTTTTTCCACCATAAATGCATATAAATACAAGATAACAAGAGTACACTAACATGTATTAAGTTAGCAATAGAACTAGGCATTATAAAACAATAAAAAAGTAAAATACACATACAGTACACTCAATACTTACCTTAAAATATTTGTAGTCTTAATGTAGGGTGAGATGAGTAGTATTTATTGTAAGAAATCAGGTGTGGTAGGTATGACAGCCAGGCTACCATACCAGGCCACCCCACCCACACATAATGTACTTAGACATTTAACGGTCCAAACGTATATATACGTTTTTACCGCTAGTGCCCCAAACGTATATATACGTTTTATGTGTCCTACATTTAACATTGCCACGATAAGCCTGAGTCGCCTAGACATGCGAGAATGGGTGTGAGCACTCACTGTGCACCATATTAAAATAATTGGGGATGCCTGGGTACCATATGCTCTTTTTTCCAATTAAAAAACAATGTTTTTTTTTTTCTCAAAAAAGTTGGGTCAGTACGGTAGTGAACGTATAGATACGTTTGGACCGTTTACAGGTTAAAGCGTCCCACAGCGATAAAATGCACAAGCAGTTCATTCATTACTTGCCTTAAAATATTTGTAGTCTTAATGTAGGGTAAGAGATGACGCTCTGGGTGAAGGCATACGAAAGGAATAATTTTCTACTGTTAGCCTCAGTAATACTATAGTGTACACATTTTCTCTGATGTTGGACTAGAGAAAACTTAATTCTTGCCATCACTCCTACAAGTTGCCTGACTACCACATCTCATATTTATGTTAATTTATTCTACTGTAGGGTGTATTTATCATATATACGTTATGTAGAGTGCTTATTATATAATTTTGAAAAAATATCATAGATGGATTAGTGAAAATGTGCATATTAACGTAAAATATAACATTTAACCCTTTGACTGTCGCAACCCCCAATCCTGAGGTGTCTCCTGGTGTCGCAAAATAAAAAAAAAATTATTTTTCTCGTATGAAATGATAAGAGAATTTTTTCCCGATTGTAATGACACTAAAAAAAACAAAATTTGATGGAAAACTGACGGAATTACGCTCTCACGAAGTTAGCGACCTCGGCAATATTTACAAATCAGCGATTTCGCCCAATTTGAACCCTATTTTCGGCTAATTCCATTGTTCCAGTCAACCAAACTCATAGCTATTTCTTTAGAACTCCGTTTTGTCTATCGATTGAGTACAAGAAACTGCCCATTTACCAATTTCAACTGCCCAATAACGTGGTCAGAAATTTGCAATTTGGCCAATTTCACGAAAATTAAAAAATATGACAATTTCAAAATAAGGTCCAGAATGAACAATGCAGACATTCCTGGCTCTAAAATAACATTTTCTTTGTTCATCAGTCACGTCTCCAGGCCCCTCTGATATTACTCTTGCTTTCTATTTTGAATTTTTATTCAAACAAAAAATAGAAGATTTACTGTTATGCAGACTACTGCAATACTGTAATAACTGTATAAATAACATCAACCCATTCATGACTGCATATTAGAATGGCTAGTTGGACATTTATTGGACAATGACATCATTTGTTTACTTTTGAACATTGGCAAAAATCAAACATTTCCCCTAGTTTGAGCTCCATTTCCAGATTCTTTTTATAGTAAAATCAATCAAAATCATGTCTATTTCTATAATATGCTTTCCGTTCTATCAAATGAGACCAAGAAAATGAGAATACAACCATAAATACTATATGAAAATAGACCACAAAGTCGGCATTTTAATTAAAAACGGTTGGAGTTTTTTTTTTCTCATTATGCACTGCGTGCTGCAGGATTTTTTTTTATATGGTGCACACTGACCACACAGACCCATTCTCTCACATGTGGACCTACCAGTTTTCTCCTGCTTGATTTGAAGCTGCTAGAATTTGAGTAGTATATATACGTCAAACACGGTACCTCGTAAGACGTATATATACGACCGCGACAGTCAAAGGGTTAATGTGCCTCAGTGATTATTGAGTATTATCATTATTAATATGGCGTCTTGAGACGTAAGACACACTTAATGTGTATCTGCATGCCAGCACAGTATGTAAATTTACTTAGGTACAGGTACACATAAGTATAATTGTCAGAGTATAGTACGAATATAAAATATGAAATAACTTTACAACACTTGAAATTTTGGGAAGTTTCCAGACATAATGAAGAGACACAGAGCTCATGGAGAATGTAAACAAACTGGGTTGGGCACAGTGACCATATTAGAAAGTCAGGTGGAGGGGAGCCATATAGCAAGTGTTGGTCATAATCTGAAATGTCCGTATTAGCGGAACGCTGTACAGTGAGGCCCTACTGTACTGCAAGTTGTGGTACAATACGTCTTGCACTGGGTCATGAAGGCATCTAACCACTGATCTCACCATGAGGATCATGGTGACTGAAGTGGCAGCACAACTGCTTTAGTATAACAAAGAAAATTAAGAAAAATATAAAAAAAATTTTTTAAACAAATATGAGTTAAAAATAAAATTTTGTGCATTCCTGATGAGACAAAGAAGGGCTAAATTTATAGATAACACTGCAAGACACTTGATAACTGAATAATAAAGGAAATAAAGGAAAACCAATACTGTCCAAATTTACAAAACTAGCAAAATCATTATTGCCAAGAAACAAAGATTTTGCACAAGTTTAACAACTAGAGAAACTAAAATTATTAATTACAGAAAATCTACATAAATTGGCAACTTCAGACTCGAGACCATGTTGGCTTCTCCAAAAATCTGAAAATATGCCAGTTTCTCGAGCATTCACAATAAAGGTACTTGTTCTATTTTTTTTCTCCAAGCTAAGGTTAAAAAGTCTACTTTTTCTCTTAACTAACATTAATATATATATCTACATATTTTATAAAACTATAAAAAGTATAATAACAAAGAAGAAAAGACAAGATGTATCTGCTAAAATTTCTTTGGTGCAAGTTTTTCTGATGAATTATACCAAAAGGGGTTACAAATAAAGTACTGGTTACTACGAAATTCTGTTTTCATGGGTGGCAATTTTTAATTTAATGTAGGTTCAGGAGTTTCAACATGGAAAATTATAAAGAAACAGAAAAATCAAAGAACAGTATGTATCAAGAAATGCATGATGATGATGATGAGTATATTACTCTAACATTAACAGATATTAAAAAAAGGAATACTGCACTGATGTGAGTGCAAAGCCAATACTATCAGCATTCAAAATACTACTACTACATTAATTTTAAGCAAGGCAGTTTATGAAGAACTTTATAAAGTTCCACCAGTGCACATCTCATTCATTACTTGTGAAGAGACCAAGAATTATTAGACTATTTATTTTGTGCTGTTTTGTTACTGATGAGTACATATATCAATGCTTCCTTGTTAACATGACTTGAGCATTTAATGTATTCCCACACTAAAGTCTAGTATAGAGATCTGAATGATTTAGATGTTTTAATTTCATGTTATACCATACACTTTCGAACGACCAAAAAAGTTATATTCATAAGTGTTGCTTACTAAACAACCAAGATAGAAACACCTAAGCTGCCTTGGTCAACAGACTATTAGTCACTGGCAGAACACTTAATCAGAAATATACCTTCAAATCATTTGTATATACAATGTTGATGTGGTAATTATACACTAATGTGAATTATTAGAACTACTACTATCAAGGAAGGCAAATACCAATATAATGTTTCAAGACAAAACCCTTATACAATATTAGGATTAATCTCCCTTGAAATGACTTTCCTAATATAATTTTTGTATCTAACTTTGGTACCTTTAGTCTTTTAATTAAATGATGACCATTGAACAACTCACCTCTATATAATTATTTAAAAATAATTTTATTGTAATATGCCTTATAAAGTTTAAAAATTTATAACCTTTCTTTATATATTGTATCATATTGCAACATTCAAGCTTTGCTTGCCAAAATTTATTTTTCAGTGTGCATCTTAATGCTGATATTTTTTGCTACATAAAATGAGTAGCAAAGAAGTGAACAGACAAAGTGAAGCACATTTCCTGCACACCTTAGACAATTCTGTTATACCTACACACAATACATATTAAAAATATAATGAACAACATTATGATCATAAACAGCACATTAAACATCCAGAGCTTATAACCATCACCACAGTCAGCACAACATTCAGTATATCAATTTTTATCATGTTTATAGCACCATTATATAAGCAAAGACATTTAGGTTCATAAAAAATTAAGATCAAAAACTTTTAACATTATCAACATTTAAATTGAACTGAAAGGTTTTCTAGAACATTAATTACTTTCATGAGAAAATGTATTCAACATACAATAAATGCAATGAGATTCAATACTAGAGCTTACTTATCACTTTTTACTTTAATACAGTTGTTTGGTTAGTCTATGAGAACATGTAAAACATTTATAGTATATACTATGTCACAATCATTTATTTTTAAAATTTAATTGTAAAAAAGTAATACAATTTCATTCGCATAATGTAGAACTGTTCTCAGATTAAAATAGTAACAGTTCACCTAACTGTTTATTCCATATATTGCTAAATGCCTTAGCAATTAATATTTTTAAGGCCCCTAGAGACTAAAGCCATTGTCAATATCAAAATTCAAACAAGACTCATTTAGATCATACATGTATTGTCAAAACTGTACTTAAAAACAAGTAAATCATTTCATATATGCCATTAAACACACAATCAGGAAAATGTGTATTAAATTCGACTTGAAAGCAGCCATTAAGAGATTCAATAAGAAACAAATAGAATTTTAAAGAAATGCTTCTGGCAGATGCAATGTACATTATGGATTTAGTGTTTTTCAAACATGTATAAAAATTACAATCCATGCACACTGATACAGCATACACCAAGAAATACTGGAATAATTATATCCTGTCATGAAGTATCAAAGAATCGTACTGTACATAACTGCAGTAACTCATAATGGTGGAAAAACACTATGGTATGTGCAGAGAAAACCTTTATATATATATATATATATATATATGCTATATTTTGCTATAAATGGAACATTTTTAAGCCAACTAAACTTTCTTCTTTTTGATTATAATAATAATAAGCCAACTAAATTGTTTTGCTCTACAGAGCAAAATTACAAAATTAGTTTTATAAAGGCTTGCTCTGCACACAGTCTTTCTACCATACTGTTGATAAGTCTTACCCCTCAATAGTAATTGATGATGCTTGCTGGATATTAATGATGTATCTCAAAATTTGCACACAAATTGTGATTATAACAATTCTTTAAGGAAGCAGAAGACAAATGTCAGACTTTTTTGAGAACAGTATTTATAGCATTATTTGGGGAAAAATCTTTCCTTTTAAATGGATGTTACAGGATAATACCTTGAAAAGTTTAAGTACAATTTAATAACATAATGTATTTTAGAGTGTCTATTAAGACAGTAATTTACATTTACATAGAGCTATGACAACATAATAATTATACATTAAATGTTGCTGCTGTCATCATATTTGTTCACTGTATGCAAAATGGGAATGAAGTAAAAAAAATTAAGTCTACTACATGTCAAAATAATTCAGACTGCTTACAATAAAAAAAAAATGGGTTCTCGTGAATTAACACTTATCAGCCCTGTGATCGTCAACTGTTTGCCAGATCAGAGAACAGCTACGATTAGGGGAGGATCAAGCACTGAATAACCCCCACAGATTGTGCTCCATGAAATACAATATAGCTAGCTGCCTCAGAGCTTCATCCTTAACCAATAAGAAGCCCACTGCATATAAAGATTTACACACTAACATATAGGCACATACATTAAAACTATCAGACCATATATTTATTTCATTTTTTATTCAGCTTTAAGATTTGGTAATATTCAATAAAAAATTAGACCATTCATTTTCCAACAAGTATGAGATTCAATAAAAATTTAATTTTATGCCTGCCAAGTAATCACCGGGATACGTCAAATAATACTAAAACTCGATAAAAATGGCACTCAAATTTCTAAAAATGCTCTATCTACAAAATATTTATCCATGGCACATTATTTTGACATCTTGAAAAACTACATTCACCAGCATATAAAAAGAGTTTGTATCCAGTGTTTTGTTTTGACTTCAACTATTTCATTATGATGAAATCTTCGTAATGCCATTACTCTATTTGCAGAAGTTCAGGTACGTGACTATGATAAAGTTGTAAGTTAGCACTATTCTAAATAAATTATTCAATGCAATATCTCGTATAATTCTTTAGAACATCTGAAACAGTTTTGACACAACTCTGATAAGAATATCAAAGGCATGTGTACAAATGCTCAAGAAATTGTCAGAAAAATTTCAATAACTTTAAGAACATTTGTTTACCTTCTTTAAACATCTTGGCAATGCAATTTCATGCACTGCTGGCTCCTCCTGGTGAGCTTATCATGCTAAGGTAATGCTGTGATGATCTCTTTAAAACACTATCAATGGCAACTTGAGCTGCAAGAAGAGGCTCATTGAGAATAGATGAAAGTGACTGCAAGAGCTCAGAAAAGTTACTCTCTAAAGCCATCTGATATTCATACTGATCACTATTGATAACCGAGTTGTTCAGATCCAGAGCTTCCTTGCAAGTGCAAACAAATTCTCTGTTGAGGAAAAGGAAAAAGTTAGTTAATCATTATAAAAACATTTCAGTGAAATTACCTAGATTCACTGTTATCCTATCCACATGGAAGAACTGCATGTACCCACTCCTGCAAGATGACATTCAAGTGTATCTTCAATATTTTTTACTGCCAAACAGCGCTGTATAGCCCTTGTAGCTTGGCGCTTCTTTTTTATTATAATAATAATACTGCCAAACAACATTTGTAGCTTGGTATATGTTTCATAATACTGTACATATGTACTGTGTCCAAAGGTTATCTTTTAACATCTCTTTTTGTTGAACATTTTAAATTTTGGTATATTAATGAACTAAGTTTAGTTTTCAGTTGTCATAAAACTTAATGACAACATCTAATGCTGTGATACTAGAAAGCATAATTTTTGTATCTTTGGTGAAAATTCAGTAATGGTTAAAGTTATCGAAATGGCACACTGACTGTTGAAAAAAAAAAAAAAAAATCCACAACATATATTATCCAAAAACAAAAAATGTGCAATGTGTGTGTAAAGGGATCGAGCCTACCTGTACACATCCTTTAGACGTAGAACCTGGTTAACGGGGTAAGAGGCAGAATGGGATTCGTCTAAGAAAGTTGAAGCATATGCTAGGGGTCCAGCATTTACTTGGACACTGATACTTCCCTGTTGAAAATAGTAAGAACATAAAATATGCTGCAATTACATTTGAATAAGTTTGGAAAAAATGTTTGATAAAAACAACTATCATTAGTATAATGGATTAATAGGGAGGTACAAGATGTCCATTGTATCGAAATACCCAATTTAACACACATTGTCTGTTGTATAGAGAACCTACTGGACACATGCACTACTGCTTGTAGACAAAATCTTGATGCAGCGGACATGATCTGTTGTATGGGAAGCCTCCCTGACACACACGCACACACTATTACTAACAAAGAAAAAAATCTTGATGTACCAGACTTTGCACTGAACATTTATCTGGCTAAATCTTTGTCTTATATCTGAAATTTGTTATATAAGGGTCTGTTACATCAAAGTTTTAACTGTACAGAGTTCCAAAGTCCACTGACACAAGATGCCTAAATGAAAGCGAACTTCCACAGCCAAATGAGATGAAGCCGAATAAATTAATACAATAGGAATTAAGAAACTAAACATGGTGGGAAGACCTGGTATCATCCTAGGATTTGAAGAAATTTGTAGAACTAAGCAACTCACTCTGTATTATTTTTAGGAATTCACTACAGTATAAGAGAAGTAAAAAATAACATATATAGAAGCTAATGAAACTTTAAGAAGTAAAAGGGAAGGCCTGTCTTGCTAACATATCATAACAATGGAAAAAGGCCATTTGAGAAAGGTAATGAAAACCACTTAAAACAAAAAACTTACAATCAAACAACTCATTTTAGCACTAGGAAAATCCTGTACAACTGAGATTTATGTATCCACTGCATCTGACATGGTCAGTTGTATGGAAAGCCCACCAAACACACACACTACTGCTAACAGACAAAATTTCACTACAGCAGACTTGGTTCATTGCATGGGAAACATACCAGACAGACACACACACACACAGTGACGTAGTGGAGGCGGGAACAATGCATAGTTTTAAGATGAGGTTTGAAAAAGCTCAAGGAGCAGGGAGAGAGAGGACCTAGTAGCAATCAGTGAAGAGGCAGGGCCAGGAGCTAGGAATCGACCCCTGCAACCACAAATAGGCGAGTACACACACACACTCATTCATTTTGCCATTTACAGACAAAATTTTAGTGCAGCAGATTTTGTCCACTGTATCAAACATTTGTCTGGCCAAGTATTTTGTCCATCATATCTAGGTTTTACTGCACTGTAATTCTATTACATGTGAGTTTAATATCAAATTCAAGCATGTCAAATTCATTTTATAATTGTACAACAGTCAACATATACCTCATCAAAAAAAAACTTTTTTTTCTACACTATTTTTTTTGACAAAAGATTAAAAAATAAATTTAATACCCTGTAGTGTACGGCTAGAGCAAAGTCATATTAATGTTTTCATCATCACTCAATAAAAACAGGCTAAACTTCATATAACTTATTACAGTTCACAAGCCTAGGTTACCCGACTCTTGCATCAGTACCAGGTAAATAGACATTATATTTAATTATGATATGCTGTAAACTTTTTCACAGCTTTATTTAGCTAGGTGAAATAAGCAAAGGGGTAAGCTCATATCAAATATAAAACTTTCTGTACTATGAAGCTGTACCATCAATTACTGTACTCAATAAGTCTTCCAGTAGTCTATCAGTAAAGTTCATGTACTTAAGAAGCATCTGAACAAAAATGTTACGCAGATAATAATTATACTAATATTAACAGACAAACTTGAGCAAATAACTACTAACAGGCAAATAAATCATTCAGTAATAAATTAAAACCAAGAATCAATGAAAATTCACAACACTAAACTTATGATACATATCACAGGATGAATAATGCTACTCTTGTAAAACAAATGTTGGACATACGAGGAATTTGCTGTCAGTTTCAGTGCATGTAGTATACAGACCACAGCAATGGCAGGTTCATGTTTGCATTTTTTCACAAGCAACAAAAAATAAGAAAAACTGGAAACTGCACTGGCATAAAAACTACAAAAAGGTTACCAAAATGAGATGCTATTGGTAAATACAAAAGATATGCCAGACTTTAATTACCTGAAGTCTAAGTTGTAGCTTCTTTATATCAGTCGGTTTCTTGTTAATAATCTCCAGAAGTTCCTTAACACGACATTCCATTTCATCAATTGCTACTTCAATAGGAGACATTTCCAGAACCTAATAAGACAATGATACTTCAAAATGCATGAAATAAAACTGGTTGAACATACATTATAATTTACAGTAAATCCCCAGCCTAGGACGTTCCATTTTATGATGTTCTGCACTTACAACACTGGAGTTTTAAAACCAATTAATTACTCATGAATGATTATCTCCAGTTGCAATCACTGCAAAAACAACAATCAAATTATTTTCAATAATTTCTTCTTGGATTTTTACAAAATACCTTCCTACTTTGTGAGTGCTCATTTTATGCATGTAAACAACAGAGAGCTTACATTTATTTAGAAGACTGGTCAAGAACTATAAATCAGATATTTAATATTTCCTAAAGGCTGAATTACAAAATTTTTTTTCTAGGCTAGTTTTTATCAAATGCATTCATACTTTGCATAGGTTTATTTTATGCATGTATAGAAAGGTCACATTTATTTTGAGTTTGAACAAGAACTGGAGATTAAATATTTATGATTTTCAACAGACTGAATTATATACAGTGGAATCTCTACTTATGAGTGCACCCACATGCAAGTTTTTCCAGATACCAGCAGTCACTCGGAGCGAAATTTCCTAATGCAAGCGAGCCTCAAGGGAGGTTCCTTGACACTGGTATGGGGTTCTTGCTCTTGATCTAGAGAATTGGATCTCATTTGTTTGTTGGACTATCTTATTGAAACCTGGGTAATGTATAATGGAAAGATGCTTTTTAATGTACACAAAAATTGAAAGAAATCGCACCATAAATAACGGAGTTCACTTCTCAGTCATTAGCCACCCCTTAGCAGTATATTTTCGGAAGGTTTTTATGGTTGTATTCTCGTTTTTTTTTGGTCTCTTTTGATAGAATGGAAGATACATAACAGAAGTAGATATGATTTTGATTGATTTCATGATGAAAAGTACCTTGAAATTGAGCTCAAAATAGCAGAAATGTTCGAAATTGTCAGAGTGGCCATTCCAAATATGCAGTCATGAATGGGTTGTCATTATTTATACAATTATTACAATAATGCAGTAGTCTGCATAACAATCTTTTTTTTGTGTGTGTGAATAAAAATAATGAGTAGTGGGGAGGTTGAAGAGGATTGGAATAGTTTTAAAAAGAAGTTTGTTATAAAAGGGTGGGTGCAGGAGGAAAGAGGAGTGATTGGTGGAATAATGAAGTAAAGGGTGTGATACAAGAGAAAAAGGTAGCTTATGAGAGGTTTTTACAAAGCAGAAGTGTTATAAAAAGAGCAGAGTATATGGAGAGTAAAAGAAAGGTGAAGAGAGTAGTGAGAGAGTGCAAAAGGAGAGCAGATGATAGTGGGAGAGGCACTGTCAAGAAATTTTAATGAAAATAAGAAATAACTTTTAAGTGAGTTAAACAAGTTAAGAAAGCCTAGGGAATGAATGGATTTGTCAGTTAAAAAAACAGAGTAGGGGAGATGGAGGTATTGGTTAGATGGCAGGAATATTTTGAGGAACTTTTAAATGTCAGCGAAGAAAGGGAGGCGGTAATTTCATGCATTGGCCAGGGAGGTATACCATCTTTTAGGAGTGAAGAAGAGCAGGATGTGAGTGTGGGGAAGCATGAGGCATTACGTAGAATGAAAGGGGGTAAAGCAGCTAGAACTGACAGGATCATGACAGAGATGTTAAAAGCAGGGGGGGGTATAGTGTTAGAGTGGTTGGTATTTTTGTTTAATAAACGTATGAAAGAGGGGAAGGTACCTAGGGATTGGCAGAGAGCATGTACAGTTCCTTTATATAAAGGGAAGGGGGACAAAATAGATTGTAAAAATTATAGAGGAATTAGTTTACTGAGTATACCAGGAAAAGTGTATGGTAGGGTTATTATTGAAAGAATTAGAGGTAAGACAGAATGTAGGATTGCAGATGAGCAAGGAGGTTTTAGAATGGTTAGGGGATGTGTAGATCAAGTGTTTACATTGAAGCATAATGTGAACAGTATACCTTTGATATACCTTTGAAGAATTTCGAGAGTATATCTACTCTCTGAGCCTGGCCATGGGCAAGGCTCATCTGATGCTTGCCTGGTCAACCTTGCTGCTGGAGGCCCGCTGCCCCACATATCCATCACAGCCTGGTTGATCTGGCGTATTTAGATAAAGGTAGGGAAGTTTTCATTGCATTTGTGGATTTAGTAAAGGTATATGATAGTGGATAGGGGAGCACTGTGGCAGATGTTGCAAGTATATGGAATAGGTAGTAAGTTACTAAATGCTGTTAAGAGTTTTCATGAGAATAGTGAGGCTCAGGTTAGGGTGTGTAGAAGAGACGGAGACTACTTTCTGATAAAAGTAGGTCTTAGACTGGGATGTGTAATGTCACCATGGTTGTTTAATATATTTATAAATGGGGTTGTAAAATAAGTAAATGCTAGGGTGTTCGGGAGAGGGGTGGGATTAAATTATGGGGAATCAAATACAAAATAGGAAGTGACACAGTTACTTTTTGCTGATGATATGGTGCTTATGGGAGATTCTAAAGAAAAATTGCAAAGGTTAGTGGACGAATTTAGGAGTGTGTGTAAAGGTAGAAAGTTGAAAGTGAACACAGAAAAGAGTAAGGTGATGAGGGTATCAAATGATGTAGATAAAGAAAAATTGGATATCAAATTGGGGAGGAGGAGTATGGAAGAAGTGAATGTTTTCAGATACAGTGGTCCCTCGTTTATCATCGTTAATCCATTCCTGGAAGTGTGATGATTATTGAAATAGATGATTTTCGAATCAATTTTCCCCATAAGAAATAATGTAAATACAATTACTCCGTTCCTGACAACCAGAAGTATTAAAACAAAATTTTTTTTTACATGAAATATAGATGTAGTACATAAACAATACAATGGGACATGATGAATGACACATTAACAGCATAACACTTACCTTTATTGGCGATTCTTCTTAGTGTATGGAAGACTGGAGGAGGAGAGAGATTGGATTAGTTACTGTTTGGAAGGAGAATCCCCTTCCATCAACATCTCAGATACCAAGTCCTTTTCTGGGGTTACTTCTCTTCTCTGTTTCTTAATGCCACTAGGACCACCTTGAGAGTCACTGGAGTCCTGTCTCGCAAAAAAAAAATGTCCAGAGAGCTCTGTTTCTGGCGTCTCTTTAAAATTTCCCTAAAATGGGCCAAGACTCTGTACAAGTTGCCGAAATGGCTTGCAACATCATTCTTAGGGTGATGTTTCTCCATAAATCTTTCCATCTTACCCCACATTTCAAAAATCTCCTTAATTTCTGAAGAAGGCACCTTCTTCCATCTCTCTTCCTCCTCCTCTGCAGCAAGATTCTGAGCTGCAATCTGTTGCTGTTCCTGCTGAATCACCTGCAGCTCCTCAGTGGTTAGCTCTTCGTTGTGGTCCTCCATCAACTCTTCCACATCCTCCAAACTCACATCCAACCCCATGGAATTCCCCAATGCCACAATAGAGTTCACAACTGACATAGGCTCATCAGGGTCAGCCACAAACCCTTCAAAATCCCTCTTGTGGACACAATCTGGCCACAATTTTCTCCAAGCAGAGTTCAAAGTCCTGGTAGTCACTCCCTCCCAAGCCTTACCTATAAGGCTTATGCAATGGAGGATACTGAAGTGTTCTTTCCAAAAATCTCTTAGGATCAAGTGAGTGTCTGAAATCACATTAAAGCACCTTTAAAACATTGCTTTCGTGTAGAGTTTTTTAAAGTTTGAAATGACCTGCTGGTCCATGGGCTGGAGGAGAGGAGTGGTATTCAGGGGCAAGAACTTTACTGTGATGAACCCAAACTCCTGCAGAATTAGGTCATCCAAGTTTGGAGGATGAGCAGGTGCATTGTCCATTACTAGGAGGCACTTGAGATCCAATGTCTTTTCCAGGAGGTAATTCTTCACAGTAGGGCCAAACACTTCAGTGAACCACTCGACGAAAATTTCCCACGTGACCCAAGTCTTATTATTAAATCTCCAAAACACACACAATTTTGTACTCTTCCTAACATTGTTTTTCGTGAACACTCTGGGATTTTCTAAATGGTACACTAGTAACGGCTTCACTTTGAAGTCTCCACTAGCATTAGCACAGAACATGAGCGTCAGCCTGCCTTTCATAGGCTTGTGTCCTGGCAGTCCCTTTTCCTCCTGAGTAATGTAGGTCCTCTTTGGTATTTTCTTCCAAAAGAGGCCTGTTTTGTCACAAATGAACACTTGTTCGGGTTTCAGTCCTTCAACTTCTATGTATTCCTTGAATTCACTTAATAATTTGGTAGCTGCAATTTTGTCCACACTGGCAGCCTCACCATGCGTTATCACACTGTGTATGCCACTACAGTTCTTAAATCTCTCAAACCAACCTTTGCTGGCCTTAAATTCACAAATAATAGTACTCGTTGCAGGCAATTACTTTACCAGATTGTCATGCAACTGCCTAGCCTTTTCACAAATAATCGACGTCATAAGACTATCTCATGCTAATTGTTTCTCGTTTATCTACACCAATAATAACCTCTCAACATCTTCGAGTACGGGTGATCTCATTTTTGTCAGCATATTTACCCCCTTTCCTAGGTAGTAGGTTGGTAGACAGCAACCGCCCAAGGAGGTACTACTGTCCTGCCAAGTGAGTGTAAAATGAAAGCCTGCAATTGTTTTACATGATGGTAGGATTGCTGGTGTCCATTTTTCTGTCTCATAAACATGCAAGGTTTCAGGTATGTCTTGCTACTTCTACTTACACTAGGGTCACACTACACATACATGTACAAGCATATATATACACACCCCGCTGGGTTTTCTTCTATTTTCTTACTAGTTCTTATTCTTGTTTATTTCCTCTTACCTCCATGGGGAAGTGGAGCAGAGTTCTTCCTCCGTAAGCCATGCGTGCTGTAAGAGGCAACTAAAATGGCAGGAGCAAGGGGCTAGTAACCCCTTCTCCTGTATATATTACTAAATGTAAATGGAGAAACTTTCGTTTTTCCTTTTGGGCCACCCCGCCTTGGTGGGATACGACCGGTGTGTTGAAAGAAAAGATTTACCCCCTTTGCAACAACAGCTTCCTTGATTTCGTTTTTCTTGGCCACGATGGAAAATATGGTTGTACGGGATTTGTTATACATCCTGGCCAGTTCGGCCACACGTACGCCACTTTCATGTTGTTCAATGATGTTTTTCTTAAATTCAATCGTATTTCTCAATTTCTTTAGCAAAGGCTTGGCACTAAGAGCTTTCTTGGAACCATGGTAGCTTATTTAGCACTTGCAAGCACTAAAATGAATGGAATATTATGAAATATTTCGTATGAACAAGTGAGGGGACAGTCGCTCAATGGTAAACAATGGCACACTGGCTGGGAAGGGAGGCCGAGGTGGTTCAGAGACGTGAGTACGCGTCCAGGACGAACGACGATTAGCGAGTCAACCGACCATTTGCGAGCCAATGTTTAGACGAAAATAACGCGACGATTTCTGAAAAGGATGACTATCGAGCCCAACAATTATCAAGGGACCACTGTATTTGGGAGTTGACGTGTCAGCGGATGGATTTATGAAGGATGAGGTTAATCATATGTGGAGACAAAAAATGTTATCTATGGAGGCAAAGAAGGGAATGCATGAATCTATAGTAGTACCAACACTCTTATATGGGTGTGAAGCTTGGGTTGTAAATGCTGCAGCGAGGAGGCGGTTGGAGGCAGTAGAGATGTCCAGTCTAAGGGCAATGTGTGGTGTAAATATTATGCAGAAAATTCAGAGTGTGGAAATATGAGAAGGTGTGGAGTTAATAAAAGTATTAGTCAGAGGGCTGAAGAGGTGTTGTTGAGGTGGTTTGGCCATTTAGAGAGAATGGATCAAAGTAGAATGACGTGGAGAACGTATATATCTGTAGGGGAAGGAAGGCAGGGTAGGGGTCGTCCTCGAAAAGGTTGGAGGGAGGGGGTAAAGGAGGTTTTGTGGACGAGAGGCTTGGACTTCCAGCAAGCGTGCGTGAGCATGTAAGATAGGAGTGAATGGAGATGAATGGTAATTGGGACCTGAAGAGCTGTTGGAGTGTGAGCAGGGTAATATTTAGTGAAGGGATTCAGGGAAGCCGGTTATTTTATATAACCGGACTTGAGTCCTGGAAATGGGAAGTACAACGCCTGCACTCTAAAGGAGGGGTTTAGGATATTGGCAGTTTGGAGGGATATGTTGTGTATCTTTATACGTATATACAGTGGACCCCCGCATAACGATTACCTCCGAATGTGACCAATTATGTAAGTGTATTTATGTAAGTGCGTTTGTACGTGTATGTTTAGGGGTCTGAAATGGACTAATCTACTTCACAATATTTCTTATGGGAACAAATTCGGTCAGTACTGGCACCTGAACATACTTCTGGAGTGAAAAAATATCGTTAACCAGGGGTCCACTGTACTTCTAAACTGTTGTATTCTAAGCACCTCTGCAAAAACAGTGATTATGTGTGAGTGAGGTGAGTGTTGAATGATGATGAAAGTATTTTCTTTTGGGGGGATTTCTTTCTTTTTGGGTCACCCTGCCTCGGTGGGAGATGGCCAACTTGTTAAAAAAAAAACAGTAAGAGACAGAAGATCCAGGGAAAACATGATAAAATGCAAAATACTCAGAGAAATTCATACAGTAGACAGGGATAGACTGTTTGAGAGGAAGGAAGCAGGTACTTTTAACTCCATGGGTCATGGCTGAAAGAGTTAATGTTTAACATGAAAAGGAACAATAATGAATGTATAATATTGGGAAACTATTCTTAGTTAAAAATAAATGGCTATATATGAAATATTGTGGCTCAGTAACATATCTCCGATTATAACATGGGTGTCTATGGGAAAAAAAAAATGTTCCAAGTACCAAATACTCGAGAAATACATTAACTTCATAAGTTGGGGCCCTATTGTACATGCTGTCTGTATGACATAAGACATTGCTCTAGAGAAATGTGACACAGTACAAAAAAAAAAAAAAAAAAAAAAAAAAAAAAAAAAAAAAAGTAGTATGTCAAACTTAAAAGTAACAAAAAATTAAAAAATATAAATAATCAGATATGGTTCAAAAATATTTGGGTTTACTGAGGGAAGAATCTTGGGTTTCTTATCCTCATGTTACTCACAATAGGTTGTTTCTGCTGAGGGGCCCTGAAAGGCCTCTTCAGAAAATGTCACATTTCATTCAAACCAACACTCGCCTCTCATGCCCCAGCAGGGCCCATTGCACATCTTGTTCTCAGTATAGAAACCCTTAACCCTTTCAGGGTTTCCAACGCACTAGTATGTCTTACGCACCAGGGTTATTGACGTACTAGTACGCGTAAATTCTAGCGCCTTCAAATCTAGCGAAAGCTGGTAGGCCTACATATGAAAGAATGGGTCTATGTGGCCAGTGTGCACAGTACATAAAAAATCCTGCAGCACACAGTGCATAATGAGAAAAAAAAAAACCTGACCGTGGTTTTGGTTTAAAACAGCGACTTTGCACTGTGTTTTCATATGGTATTTATGGTTGTATTCTAGTTTTCCTGGTATCAATTTATAAAATGGAAGACATATTACAGAAACTGAGATGATTTTGATTGGTTTCATAACGAAAAGTACCTTGAAACTGAGCTCAAAGTAGCAGAAATATTCGATTTTTGCCAAAGTTCAAAAGTAAACAAATCATGCCACGCGTCCAATACACGTGAACTGGAGAGTCTAACATTCTTTCACAAGTGCGCTGATATTATATATACCATTTCTACACTAATGCAGTAGTCTGCATAACAGTAAATCTATTTTTTTGTGAGAATAAAAATTCAAAAGTGGAAAGGAAAAGAAATATAAGAGGGGCCTGGGGACGTGACTAATGAACAGAGAAAATGTTATTTTAGTGCCAGGAATGTCTGTGTTGTTTATTCTGGATCCCATTTGGAAATTGGCATCTTTTGAAATTTGTGTGAAATTGGCAAAATTGCCAATTTCTGATCACTTTATTAGATGGCTGAAATCGGTAAATTGGTGGTTTCTTATACTCATGCAATAGAAAAAACTGAGTTCTAGCGAAATAGTTATGCTTACTGTCAACTAGTAAACTGGAATTAGCCGAAAATAGGGCTCAAAGTGGGTGAAATTGCTGATGCGTAAACATTGTTGAGGCCGCTAACTTCGCGAGAGCATAATGCCGTAAGTTTTCCATCAAATTTCATACTTTTGGTGTCATTATGATTGGGAAAAGATTCTCTATCATTTCATAAGAAAAAATATTTTTTTTTATTTTTCTGAAAAATTTTCGACCCTGAGAAAAAGTTTAGAAGAGGGCCTCTCGACCCTAAAAGGGTTAACCATTGCTTGCTAAGACAGCTTGCTGGTTATAACTGTTAACAGCCAAGAGCATGGCAAAGCACTACACCCAACAAATCAATAACTCGCCTCTTTATCCACACTGAATGTTTCATGACTATTACTCATCTGCTTTGCACCAGACTGGCTTTGTAGATATGGTTGATGTCTGCATTTAGTCCTGGTCCTCCAGGTTTACTGTAGGTGATGCAAGTACTGTTTGCCAGAGGTGATTAAACATGACAACTCTCTGTAAAGAAGAAACCCCCATCCTTCAACGTTCTTATAAACTGTAAAAGTCCTTACCTCTGTGTCAACAATCTGGATTCTTTTTTTTACATATGGAAATGTATAATCAGTCTTGTGAATAACTCTCCTCTTCCATTGCTCCTCCAACTTCCCATGGGCTTTGCCTCCTTGAGTAAATGGCATTTCAAACATAAATGTGTTAATGTTGTTATTACGATCAAATTCATTCTGTCGGTTGATTCGCTCCTCCTCTGGGAAGTATGGCGAGACGTGGGTGACTTGAATATATGCATAGCGCGATTCTAGCTCATCTGCTTCAACCTGAAAAATGCCATTTTTATGAAATCTCTATACTGTACTTTACTAACTGCATATATGTCCATGTATATGTTATAAAATAATTTTTAGCTATTTGTAATTACAGTAGCAGAGCTATGTTCATGGTGTCCATGGTATTCTTGTAGTGATTTACAGTCATCTGAATTGTGATGTCTGCTCACTTCTGGCAAGACAGCTATTGAATGAATGATGGTGAATGTGTTTTCTTTGTTGTATCACCCTACCTTGGTGGGAGATAGCCAGTAATGTTAAAAAAAAAAAAATGATTTTGCAGAGGATTTTTACATCACCCACAAATATATTTGATAGGTTTTCTATTTTATAAGTTTTATTCTTTCTGGCAACTCCTTTATATAACTGTTTTATCATTATTGGCACAAGTGCATTTTGGGCAAATCTTTAACTAATATTTGTTCAAAAGGAGCACAATGAGAATACTAAAGTGTTGGTAAAATTGTAAATGTTCTGGTATATTGTACAATATTATTGATTGCTCAAGTACCTTGTCATATATGTCTTTATTAAGTGTTAAATGGAGTGTTGTAGATACTTAAAATCTTTTTTTTTTCAATGAACCAGCTGCATCCCATTGAGGAAGGGTGACCTAAAGTTTTTATATACATTTTTCTTTTTAAATTTAGTAATTTATACAGAAGAACGGGTTATTAGCACCTTGCTTCCAGCATTTTAGTCACCTCTTATGACACACATGGCTTATGGAGGAAGAATTCTTTTCCACTTCCCCATGAAGAACATTTACAATTATGAGTTGTTTTTGTTTTGAATGTCTACTACTAAGATTCCAATTGCTTTTAATTATATTATTGTAGCTTGTAGTTTTTTTTAACCAGCATTGCTGATCTACCTCAGCTCCTTTCAGCTTTGTTCCATCTCCACACTGAGGCATTTTTTCAATTACGTACTACTATATTTAGCAAATGCTCCTCCAAACTGGTTGCAACTAAACACACTATATCCACTTCCCTGTCATCTGTTTTTTACATCTAATATTTTTGAGATTATCATATTTATGTATACAACATCTTTATATACAGTGGACCCTCGGTTATCAGCCATTCCACTTATCGACCAACTCGGTTATCAGACGGCTTCCGGTTATCGGCCGTTATTTTGTTTATCGGCCACGTCAACCCACCACCGCCAGTCGCTCACGCGTCAGTCTGGCTGTGTCTCTGGGTGAGTGAGGATGCTTTTGCTCATTCATCCAAACATTTTGCTATAATCCATTGTTTTTGGTGATTATTTTTTAAGTGCAACTGTGAAATAAGTAACCATGATCCCAAAGAAAGTTCCTAGTAAAGTTCCTTTGGTAAAGAAATTGAGAAACACGATGGAATTTAAGAAAAAAATTGTAGGAAAGTACAAGAGTGATGGTGGTAGAGGGTGGTGGTGATGGAGGTAGAGGGTGGTAGTAATAGTGGTAGAGGGTAGAGCTGCAAGGCCTTCATCTAGGACAGCAACAGACCACAGCTGAGGAAACTGCTTCAGAGGAGCTGGGGAGAATGTGCTTTCTTCAGTGATTAAGGACATGTGTGTAAAGTGGAGTGAATTGCAGGGATACAGTGACTCTCAAGCCTCTCTCCTCATCCCTATCATCCAAAAGCCAAGAAGAGTCTTCAATAAAGGTATGTAATACTGTACACAATTGAATTGTTCCAGTCATGGTATTGTGCCTTTTTTTGTTATTTATGTAATACTGATTTAATTGTTCATGTATTTATTTTATTTAGTTCTCATTGTTTTGTGCATGTAAAATATAATTAATTGCTCAAATTGGAAATAAATAAATAAATAAATAAATAATTTTTTTTTTTTGTGAATATTTTTGGGTGTCTGGAATGGATTAATTGTATTTACATTAATTCTTACTTTCATACATTCCCTTCTTTGCCTCCATAGATAACGTTTTTTAGTCTCCACATATACCTCAACGCACCACTCACCTTTTTTCCCTCATCAATTCTATGATTAACCTCATCCATCATAAATCCATCTGCCGACACGTCAACTCCCAAGTATCTGAAAACATTCACTTCTTCCATACTCCTCCTCCCCAATTTAATATCCAATTTTTCTTTATCTAAATAATTTTATACCCTCATCACCTTACTCTTTTCTATGTTCACTTTCAACTTTCTACCTTTACACACACTCCCAAACGCATCCACTAACCTTTGCAATTTTTCTTTAGAATCTCCCATAAGCACAGTATCATCAGCAAAAAGCAACTGTGTCAATTCCCATTTTGTATTTAATTCCCCATAATTTAATCCCACCCCTCTCCTGAACACCCTAGTATTTACTTCTTTTACAAACCCATCTATAAATACGTATATTAAACAACCATGGTGATATTACACATACCTGTCTAAGACATACTCTTACTGGGAAGTAGTCTCCCTCTCTTCTACACACCCTAACCTGAGCCTCACTATCCTCATAAAAACTCTTTATAGCATTTAGTAATTTACAACCTATTCCATATACTTGCAACATCTGCCACATTGCTCCCCTATCCACTCTATCATATGCCTTTTCTAAATCCATAAATGCAATAAAAACTTCCCTACCTTTATCTAAATACTGTTCACATATATGTTTTACATGATGGTAGGATTGCTGGTGTCTTTTGTCTGTCTCATAAATATGCAAGATTACAGGTACGTCTTGCTACTTCTAATTACACTTAGGTTACACTACACATGCATGTACATGTTTATTTATACACACTCATCTGAGTTTTCTTTGATTTTATCTTAATAGTTCTTGGTCTTATTACTTTTCCTTTTATATCCATGGGGAAGTTGAATAAGAATCTTTCCTCCGTAAGCCATGCGTGTTCTAAAAGTCAACTAAAATGCTAGGAACAATGGGCTAGTAACCCTTTCTCCTGTAATAATTACTAAAAAGAATAAGAAGAAGAAAATTGTCAAAGTGGGAAGTCTGAATGTGCATGGATGTTGTGCAAATGATAAGAAAGATGATTGTGGATGTCCTGGCTTTAAGTGAAACAAAGCTGCAGGGGGTGGGAGAGTTTCAGTGGAGACGAATAAATGGGTTTAGGTTAGGGGTTTCAAATAGAGTTGGAGCTAAAGAAGGAGTGGCAATAATGTTGAAGGATAAGATATGGCAGGAAAAGAGGGTCTATAAATGTATTAATTCAATGATTATGTGCAGTAAAATAAAGGTTGGATGTGAAAAGTGGGTTATAGTAAGTGTATATGCACCTGGAGAAGAGAGAAGTGTAGAGGAGAGAGAGAGATTTTGGGAAATGTTGAGTGAATGTGTGGGGAGTTTTGAACCATGTGTGAGAGTAATGGTGGTTGGGGATTTCAATGCTAAAATGGGCAAAAATGTTGTGGAGGGAGTAGTAGGTAAATTTGGGGTGCCAGGGGTAAATGAAAATGGGGAACCTTTAATTGAGCTATGTGTAAAAAGAGGTTTGGAAATTTTTTTTTTTTTTTTCAACAAGTCAGCCGTCTCCTACCGAGGCAGGGTGACCCAAAAAGAAAAAAAATCCCCAAAAAGAAAATACTTTCATCATCATTCAACACTTTCACCACACTCGCACATTATCACTGTTTTTGCAGAGGTGCTCAGAATACAACAGTTTAGAAGCATACACATATAAAGATACACAACATATCCCTCCAAACTGCCAATATCCCAATCCCCTCCTTTAAAGTGCAGGCATTGTACTTCCCATTTCCAGGACTCAAGTCCGACTATATGAAAATAACCGGTTTCCCTGAATCCCTTCACTAAATATTACCCTGCTCACACTCCAACAGATCGTCAGGTCCCAAGTACCATTCGTCTCCATTCACTCCTATCTAACACGCTCACGCACACTTGCTGGAAGTAAAAGCCCCTTGCCCACAAAACCTCCTTTACCCCCTCTCTCTAACCCTTTCGAGGACGACATCTACCCCGCAGTCCTTCCCCTATAGATTTATATGCTTTCCATGTCATTCTACTTTGATCCATTCTCTCTAAATGACCAAACCACCTCAACAACCCCTCTTCTGCCCTCTGACTAATACTTTTATTAACTCCACACCTTTTCCTAATTTCCACACTCCGAATTTTCTGCATAATATTTACACCACACATTGCCCTTAAACAGGACATCTCAACTGCCTCCAACCGTCTCCTCGCTGCTGCATTTACCACCCAAGCTTCACACCCATATAAGAGTGTTGGTACTACTATACTTTCATACATTCCCTTCTTTGCCTCCATAGATAACGTTTTTTGACTCCACATATACCTCAACGCACAACTCACCTTTTTTCCCTCATCAATTCTATGATTAACCTCATCCTTCATAAATCCATCCGCCGACAGGTTGAAGGGAGGGGGTAAAGGACGTTTTGTGTGCGAGGGGCTTGGACTTCCAGTGGGCATGCGTGAGCATGTTTGATAGGAGTGAATGGAGACAAATTATTTTTAATACATGACGTGCTGTTGGAGTGTGAGCAAAGTAACATTTATGAAGGGATTCAGGGAAACTGGCAGGCCGGACTTGAGTCCTGGAGATGGGAAGTACCGTGCCTGCACTCTGAAGGAGGGGTGTTAATGTTGCAGTCTAAAAACTGTAGTGTAAAGCACCCTTCTGGCAAGACAGTGATGGAGTGAATGATGGTGAAAGTTTTTCTTTCTCAGGCCACCCTGCCTTGGTGGGAACCGGCCAGTGTGTTAATATAAAAAAAAAAATATTTAGTTGTAGCTACAGTTAGAGTAAGAGGTAGATGGGAAAAGAAGAAAATGGCAACAAGAAGCAAGAGGGAGGTGAAAGTGTATAAACTAAGGGATGAGGAAGTTTGGGTGAGATATAAGCAATATTAGCAGAAAGGTGGGTTGGTGCAAGTATGAGAAGTGGGGGGGTTGAAGAGGGTTGGAATAGTTTTAAAAATGCAGTATTAGAATGTGGGGCAGAAGTTTGTGGTTATAGAAGGGTG